AAATAAAATAGTAGATACTTTGGTCCTGCAGTTCAACATTATTTAAAGTGGGGACTAAATGTTAACATTAAATATGACAGAGGTAATTTAGACCAATTAGCCGAATAAAAAATAAAATAGATACAATTATTTAATATATATATAAAGTTAAAATTTCTATGTTTTATAATAAATTTATAAATAAAAGTATTTAATAATATTATTATTAGATATAAAATTATTCATAATAAATAATAATAAAAAAATATTTTTATAAAAGGCAAATGAGGGTAGCCGTGCAAGCAATTTAATCAAAATTATTTTTTTTTTAAAAAATATCTTCTTAAATTATAATTTTTTTTAGTGTTTTAATCAAAATTATTCTTTATAAAATAATATATATATATATTTTCTTTATAATCTAATAGTAAAATTAAATTATATTAATATCCTAATACTAATACATATAGATATATATTTATTTTTGGATGGAAGGTCTCTAAATCAGCCAAAATTTCTTGTCGATCAAAAGTACATCGGTCCTATAAATTATATATTTGTATAAAAAAAGTAGCGATTGCAAATTTTTACGTCATAAAGAAAAATATATCACAAAAATATATATTAAATATAAACAATAATATGCACATGATTGTAATTTGTCTAATTGCACAGTATTTGAATTGACAAATCAACTAATTAAATCAACGAATATAGCCTTAATGTGATTCTAAATTCTTATTCTTCAAGAGAAATCATATGTATTTCATTTTATATTAATAGGACCAAATTCATGCTATAGAAGTTAGAGGTTTGTCACGGGTTGACATTCTTGCTTCAGGTTTTCGGTCATAATCCCTCCTATGTGTGCGAGCCTCTATCATGTATTGTTGATTGACGGTATATGTCTTGGTGCAGGTACATATTTCGCATTATTTTATCATATTGTATGGTATATCCCGGGTGTGTTGCACACAGGGAACGACTGGTCTGGGCCTCAACGCGGGCGTGGCCTAGGCGCCGGGTGAATCAACTTTCGAACACGTTTCATATGGTATCAGAGCGGACCTTGACGGTGGTGGCAAACAAAGCGACAAAGTAGGGGCATTCCTCGAGTGAAAGAGCATGCCAATGACACGTCAAGGATGAACATGTTCTAAGGAAACTAGACTTTCCAGAGTGAAGTGCTCTCAGAGTGGGGGAGTACGCTCGACGTTGTTGGTGAACCAAGGTGGCCAGTGGGCATGTCAAGGAAGAGCATGTCCTAAGACAACTGGACATTCCAGATCTGGGAGTACTAGAGTGGGGGAGTATGCTCGACGTCATTGGAAGGTCAAGATGGATGAGCTTTGTTCGTGAGGGGAAAACCACGTTAAAGACGATCTTCGGGCGAAGAATACACAAACCGTCACAAAGGATGTCCCGGATGGTGTGCGAAGACGAGCGGAGGAACGTGGGTGGGTCGCATGTGGGTTGTCTATGGCAAAAGACCTCGCTGGCTGTTGGTGAGCAAAAAGAGTAGTGGTATGCAGATAAGGGTCAAATGAGTGACACCGGAGGCATACTGAGGGTACAAGAGTTCGTGAAGCAAAGACCACGTTAAGAACGATCTTCATAAGAAAAGTGCATAAGCCGCAACAAAGGATGTCCCGGATGGTGTACGGAGATGCGCGGTGTAATGGGTCACATATGGGTTGTCTATGGCAAAAGACTTCGCTGGCTGTTGGTGAGCACAAGACTGGGGGTATGCAGATAAGGGTCGACGAACTGACGCCGGAGGCATACCGAGGATGTAAGAAACAACGTCAGTGCACTTGAATAGCGTCGCACGAGGGCATTTGCGACTTGAAGCGGGGGAGTATTGTCACGGGTTGACAATATATAACGTGTCCGGAAGCTGACACACGCCCGGCGCTTAGGCCACGTTCACGCTGAGGCCCAGACCAGCCGTCCCTTGTGCGCAACACGCTCGAGATATACCATACAATATGGGAGAATAATGCAGAATACGTAGCTACACCAAGACATATGCCATCAATCAACCGTACAGGACAGGGGCTTGCATACATGTGACGGACTATGGCCGAGAACCTGGGGCAGGAACTGGCGCTTGGTGAGCACAAGAGTGGTACGCGCGAAAGGGTCAATGGAGTGACGCCTGAAGGCATGCCGAACGTGCAAGAAACTACGTTGGTGCACTCAAGTGGCGTCGCACGAGGGAGTTTTGCGACTTAGAGTGGGGGAGAGTGTCACGGACTGACATTTCTGCTCCAGGTTCTCGGCCATAGTCCGTCCCATGTATGCGAGCCCCTGTTCTATACGGCTAATCACTGGTATGTGCAGGTACTTGTTCCGCTTTATTTCTTCCGCATTATATGGTATACCCAGGCTTGTTGCGGACAAGAGACGGCTGGCTTGGGATTTTGGGCCTGGGCGCTGGGCGTGTCAGCTTCCGGCACGTTACAAATGGTATCAGACCCGACCTTGACGTTGTTGATGAACGAAGCGGACGGGTGAGCAGTTCTCCGAGGGGGAGTATGCTGATGACACGTCAGGAAAGAACATATCTAAGCGAGGCTGGACATTCAAGAGGAGAGTGCTCCTTGAGAAAGAGTATGCTTGACCATGTCAACCCGTGACAATACTCCCCCACTTTAAGTTGCAAATGCCCTCGTGCGACACTATTCAAAGGCATTGACGTTGTTTCTTACACCCTCGGTATGCCTCCGATGTCACTCCGTTGACCCTTATCTGCATACCCCTACTCTTTGTGCTCACCAACAGCCAGTGAGGTCTTTTGCCATAGACAACGTGCATGCGAACCATTCCGCCGTGCATCTCCGCACACCATCTGGGACATCCTTTGTTGCGGCTTGTGCAAATTTCTCCTAAAGATTGTCCTTTACGTGGTTTTTCCCTTACGAACAAAGCTCGGCCCTTTTGGCCCTCCAGAAATGTCGATCATACTCCCCCACCCTAAAAGTGTTCCCTCTTTGGAATGTCCAGTTCCCTTACGGCATGCTCCTCCTTGACATGCCACCGACATACTCCTTCACTCGAGCAATGCCCCGCTTTGTCGCTTCGTTCGCCACCACCGGCAAGGTCCGCTCTGATAACATATGCAACGTGTCCGGAAGCTGACAGGCCTAGCACCTAGGCCACGCTTGCGCTGAGGTCCAGACCAGCTGTCACTTGTGTGCAACACGCCCGGGATATACCATACAGTATGGGAGAATTATGCGAAACACGTACCTACACCAAAACATATGTCGTCAGTCAGATGTACAGGACAGGGGCTCGCACAAATGGGACGGACTATGGCCGAGAACCTAGGGCAGGAATGTCAACCCGTGACAATACTCCTCCACTTCAATTCATAAACGCCCTCGTTCGACGCTATTCAAGTGCACTGACGTTGTTTCTTGCACCCTCGGTATGCCTCCGGCGTCACTCCGTTGACCCTTATCTGCATACACCCCCACTATTGTGCTCACCAATAGCAAACAAGGTCTTTTGCCATAGACAACCTATATGTGACCCCATTCCACCACGCATCTCCACACACCTTTCGGGACATCCTTTGTTGCGGCTTGTGCAATTTTTGCTCGAAGATAGTCCTTAACGTGTTTTTCCCCTTCATGAACAAAGCTCAGCCATCTTGGCCCTCCGGCAACGCCGAGCATACTCTCCCACTCTAGGAGTACTCCATCTCTGGAATGTCCAGTTGCCTTAGGACATGCTCTTCCTTGACGTGCCCACTAGCCACCTTGCAACGTCGAGCGTACTCACCAACTCTGGGAGCACTCCACTATAGAGTGTCCAGTTCCCTTAGGACATGTTCATCCTTGACGTGCCACTGGCATGCTCCTCCCCCGAGCAATGCCCCGCTCTGTCGCTTCCTTCGCCACCATCGTCAAGGTCCGCTCTGATACAATATGTAACGTGTCCGGAATCTGACATGGCCGATGCCTAGGTCACGCCCGCACTGAGGGCCAGACCAGCCGTCCATTTTGCACAACACACCCCCGATATACCATAAAATATGGGAAAATAATGTAGAACACGTACTTACACCAAGACATATGTCATCAATCTGCCGTACAGGATAGGGGCTCACACACATGAAACGGATTATGACCGAGAACCTGGGGCAGGAATGTCAACCAGTGACAGGTCTCTCAGTAAAATATATATATATATATAGCATTAGTTGTCCTTGCACCAAAATAATGTTGTTAAACTACAATGAATATGTTTCTATCTTGAATAATTGTTGCTTACTGTGAATATGTTTGCTAAGTCCCGTAAGCGATGGCTTGGTGGTGTGGGAAGTGAACTTGTGACCGTGAGGTTATAAGTTCAAATCCCAACGCCTCCAGATCCGCCTTGTCGGGCCTAGTTATTAAATTTTACATAATCCGAATCAATATGAAAATCCAAATTTTTTTGAAAAAAAATCAATCCGAACCAAATCGAATTGTCTAAAATTCAAATATTGAATTATAAAATTTGAACCGAACTAAAAATTTTAAATCCTAATTATAAAATCCGAACCAAACCGAAAAATATCAAAATTGCATAATATATTGAAATATATATTTTTGACAATTTAAGTTCTTTTTATTAAAATATTAAATATATGAAATAATAAATTTATTATTATATAAATGTGAGTTTTATATTTTTGTTAAAATAATATATATAAATAAGAATATAATATATTAATATATAGTGTTATATTTTAGATTGGTTCAGATTTTTATTAATTAGAAAATTCAAAATATATATAAAAAACAAACTAATTCCAACTAATCCAAAAATTCGAACCAAATTTTAAAGTTTGACATGGTTCGGGGATTTCAATATTTTGCTCACCCTTACCTCATTGTCATTGGATAATATTGGAAGCAAAGAGCAGCAGCAACAACAACCAAATCTGCAATGCAACGGGGGAATAATTAATAGACTTTAGCCTGCATGCCTGCTATTTGCATTGAAACTTTGGTTAGATTCTTCAAAAGTGTGATAACTAATTTCGAATTGTCATTTCTCCTTTGAGGCAAACACCAACTCCATCACATTCCACAGACCAGGTCCTTAATTTAGTTGAAACACTTGCCATTGTAGAGAGAGAGTAAGAGATACATGAACTTGCAAAGGATCATAGAGCACTGGAAGATGCATGATATGGAATTAGTACCATGGGGAAAATATTCTACTCCAACTACCACAAGCTTTAATTGCTCGTCCAAGCACCGAAAACTCAGTAATATATCAGAAAGTCGAGCCATTGAACCCAAAGAACGGGCGCTGCAGAAATAATTCAGTTAGATGTCAGTCTATGAGTTTCATCCTAGAAACTTTAATCTACATGATAATAGGATTCAGCTCATTCTGCCTAAATAATTCAATTAGATTTCAGTCGATGAGTTTCATCCTATAAACTTTAATCTACATGATAACAGGATTCAAAGCTGAACGAACAAAAAACTATTGGGCCATAAGAGATGTATAAATCATATGTAATTCAGCAGTCGCGTCCAATGTATGTAATCAAGAGAAAAACTTTCACATAACAGATTACGATAGAGCTGTTGGGATCTGAGGGAGGGACTGATCACACAGATACATATAAGAAGTAAATCATAAACCCACAGGGATCAATGTAACACCACAATGATCATATTGTTAAGCACATATGATAATTACGTAGAATTCAAGAAAAAAGAATATGGTTCCATGATTCCTACAACTCAGAGTTACCCACCACTGTCGTACATATCTTGGTGGCAAAGCCGACCAATAAGGGTAGCGCATACTTTCACCAAATAAAATGTTGCAAACACTAAGCCCACTGAGTTAAGATCTGCCTACACAATCATAAACACATACCTTAACCTTAACTAATTAAATCCCTTCACCAATATACAAACTATCCTCTTGTTGTCTTAGATCTTTTTTATCAATGAACAAATTGTTTTATGTTTTTATGAATCTAATTCAGTGCCTTTCGATAACAATTGTTGTGGTATAAACTCAAGTCTCAAATCGGAAAATTAGAAGAACCTATACCTTATAAGTCTTACATCTAACTCTGCTAGTATAAGGCATTTTAGAAGAAGTCAAAAAACAAATCCGTTTGGACTCGGTCCGAAGCGGATATGTGGTGGTGCCATAGGTTATATGGTCCTTGGTTTGAGGAGATGATTGTTGCGGTGCAAACTTAACTCTCACATCAAAAAATTATAAGAACACTTTATTATAAGTCAAGTATCTAACTCCATTAGTATGAAATTTTTTGGAAGAAGTCCAAAAATAAATCCATGGGAGCTCGGCCTAAAGCGGACAATATTGTACTAGTGTGGAGTTAGCCAAGACGCTAAGTCCTAACATAGTTACTTGTAAACTATTTTATTGACATTGACTCTACTTTTCCCCTTATTCAGCATGTAATAGTTGGAAACAGGTAATCGATGCACAAATGCTTATTAGCATCATTCCTACACCAACAATTCAAGAAAATATGAAAATGCCATTCGTATATATCACAAAATGCAATAGGCTATTATATGCTGCCAAGAATCTTGTCAAAGGAACTTCATTCCGAATCTGAGATTCCTTACTAGTGCTACAAACTCCATCGAAAAAGCAGATGTTTTCTTAATTCTTTTGTCCAGTTTAGACAATCTTAAAGGAGAATAATGCTTCATTGTCTAAATAACACAATGATAGAATATATCTAATAAATATAAATAGAATACCTGAACATCATAAAACTTGATGTAGAATCTGGAGCTCTCAATCGACAACTTGGTTAGCAGAATCTCTGCAATGGTTGCACTGAGTTTGGCATTGACACTAGGGCCAAGACCCCCAATGGAGATTAATTCACCATAACCAGCCGGCTCTTCAGTCCCACCGAAGGAAATCGGCACGCTGCCATTCACAAGTATCATCACATACTGCACAAGAATAAAAAATCAGTCAATGATCAAACAGGCCATCCACATTCCTAGTTTAGGAACACGATGTTCAAATGAAATTATGAAAAGAAGGAAACCGATCTTCAAATGACTATTATAGAATCGCGAAGATTCAAAACAATGGGATAAAGAAAAAATCGTCAGGTTCAGAAGACATTCACTTTATTCTCAGAGGAATATCGTCGAACACATTGCATGCCTGTTTGCCAGATCAATATTCACAAACCATTAAAACCTATTTATAAATAAATTTACCTTAAACCAACACACGAATTAAACCAAGCTCATCGTCAAAATTTAACAACAAAAACAGAAGGCATCACTGAATGATTGAACATTAAAACAGAGAATCGGAACAAAATTCAGAGAAAAATTACCAACATGTATGAAAGAAATCGGACCTCTCGCCAGATGAATATTCTTAAATACAAAGCTACTATACACTAAAATATCGAAACAAACAAAAGGCATTCAAAAAGTAGTAGGGGAAAGCGGATAGTACAGATTCAGGTTTGCCCAAAATTTTGGCAACAGCTTTGGTAGCATCTTTGAGGATATCAGAAGCGACGACGCCATCAACTGGGACGTTGGTGAACAAATTCAGCGTGGGCATTTCCGAGCAGTGCGTCTACTGAGACTTGATGATTTGCTTTCTGATAAAATCTGCGGATAAGATAGTGATAATGGAGGAAGGAGAGACTTTGAGAAGAAAATTATCTGAGGGCATTATGGTCAAAAGCTTTGCAGGCATTCATAAGATATACTCCCGCGCATGTGATATGGGTACATTCACTTAAGGGTACATTCACGTAATACGAGAATTATATAAAATATAATTCCTAGTAAATAAAAATATATATTAATAAAAATAATTAAATAATTTAATTAAAATTATAAAATTATAAAATTTAAAATTAAATTAAAATATATAATTATATTTTTAAAGAAAAAAAAAATATTATGTAATACGGATAAAAATAGAAAATATGAACAAAATATTAGACGAATGGAGTATAAGAATATAGGATGTGTTTCTTTTTAAGAAGCATAGGGAAATCAAATTTGAGTTTGGATTAAATTTGAATTTTAAAATACGTTTAGATTTTTGTGTTTTTTTAGATTTATAAGTTTGGCTCCTATGTCCCTGATAAATAGTCATATTACCGTAGACACGAGAATTTATGTGAAATATAATTAATAAATAATAAAAAAATATATTAATAAAAATAATTATAAATTAAAATTAAAATAATTAAATAATAATATAATTAAAATTAAAAAAATTATAAATTATGAAATTAAAAATATAATTAAAAAATATCATAGGTCCTAACCATTTAAAAATTGACATACGATAATATTTTTTATAAAATTTTTCTATTACTTATTATTAAAATTAAAACATAAAAAAAAAAAAAAAGATCTTTTGCAAATCAAAAGTCAAAACCATCCTTCCAGTCATACACATGGCACTATATTTTATTATTTTATTTTTATTATTTCTTATATAAAATTAATACATAAAAAAAAGTAAATCAGACCCCTCATTTCCAATTTTCAGATGACGCTTTTAACAAAACCCTTATTCCCTCTTTTTCAGATCGTTGTTCCCTAAATCGACTCGTCTCTTTTCCATCGTTCCTTCGTCCGTGTGTTTTTTTTTTTCGTCGCCACCATCGGGATCCTCCTCATTGTCTTCAACCTTCGTGCATTTCGTCGCCGGCCAATTTCTGGTATATGGTTGCTTGTTTTTTAAAATTTTTGCCTGAATGTTTTGTTGATTTTGTGTTGAAGTTTTATGAGTTAGTGTTCTTTTTCTCTGTTTTTGTGTGTGTTGGTCTTTTCTTCCTAGGCTAATTGTGACATCCCGGGTAAAAATATGTGCACCTTGTTATGACTAGTCTATTCAATCGCTAAATAACGGCTCATATACACACGGGAGTTGGCGAAGCAACGGTGCAACTCCGAAGGGTATCACACTAATTCAGAGTGATTGAGTGTTTGAACTATTTAATTACAATTGTAGTTTTATTTTGTTCAGTTGTATTGTAATTCGGTGGACCTCCGATTTTATTTATTTGTTTATTTCTTCTATGGGAAAATTTACACCAAAAAAATTATTTATTTTTTAATTAGGTTTTTAATTATATATTGGTTAGGATTTTGAAGAAGAGAAGCTTATATGATTTTTCTGGTTCATTTGTGGTTTATGATGATTTTTACACGTAAAACAACATTGAGTATGATTTAGTAAAACTTGTTTGTGAATTAATAACAACGTGACATGGTTTATTTCTTAATTACAATACAACTGAATATGTTAAGATTTTAACTAGATAATCATTTTTCCTAAAAGTTTGTCTGCTCTTAATATTATGGTGGATTAAAATCATGAAAAGAAGATTTTAACTAGATGATCATTTTTCCTAAAAGTTTGTCTGCTTTTAATATTATGGTGGATTAAAATCATGAAAAGTATGTCAAATAAAATAATTATTGAATGAAAAGAACTTTTCACCTATGTCTAATTGGGATTGTAATATATGCAGAGATTATGAATAGTTTCTAATTTGATATTTTTAAAATGTAATTTTGATTTATTTTTCTTATGTTATTTTGGACTATAATAGTGTTTCGACCTTATATATTGGCAAAATAATTTGGCTTGTTTTTAATAATTTTGTATTTTTCTTGATAGTAATCTTCTACTTGTACATTTGAAAAGAAAACATGACATCTTCATCTATTGGTTCATTCAATTCGGCTAAAGTTTGTTCCTGCAGCACTCCAGTGCGAAGATTGATTTCGCGAACCGAACATAATCCAATGAGGAAATTTCTGTGATGCGCAAATTCGAATACTCCTAGTGACTGATTTTTTCAACTGGAAAAATGACAACGGAGAGATATTTGCATTACTACAGATACATAATAAATTTGAGGGGAGAGGAAAAAATTAAAATGATGGAAAAAAATGAAAAAGATGGAGTGAAATTAAAAATTTTAAAAGAGCTTTCATCTTGTTCATTTTTATTGTTGTTATTTATATATTTTGTTAGTTGTTGTGGTAAAGCTTATGTAATGTAGCTTTATGTTATGGTATTATTATGTTAATTATGCGATGCGAGAGTGGAAGAAAATGAACTTAAATGTGGCAGGTTCTTCTATTTCGGATACTGTGAATTTTGTTTGTAATTGTAGGCATTAAAAATTAAATGTCTAAATTAAATTAAATATCATATATTTTGGAAGAAAATAAAATTCCAATAATATAATATATGATATTTAATTATGCACATATGTTAATTTTTGTACAATAAATATTAACCATTAATGCAAAAATATGCTTAAAATGGAAGATATTATACAAATATTACGTGCATAAATAGAACCATAATAAATTTGGCAGCAAAATAAATTAATCTTGTCAATAAATAAAGTATATAAATTATTATCTTCCAAAAAAAGGCAATGATATAAAGATCTTATCAATAAAAGAAGTATATAAATTAATATCTTCTGAAAAAGGACAATGATATAAAGATCTTGGCGAGAAAGGAAGATGCACAATCAAATCCGTCAAGAATTAATGGAAAAGAAAATATTATAAAATTTTCCTATTGACCAATCAAAATGCGCCACATGTCACCATTGAAAAAGGAAGCAGAAGCCACCCTATAAATAGGAGCCATGGTCAGTTCATTTGAGACACCGAAGTTCATTTGAAAACTCGCGCAAGTGTAAGTCTCTTTAGACTCTCTGCAATGTTCTTCATTGTTCTTCGTGTCTTTCGAAGCGTTCTTCGTCGAAAAGTCACCGATGTGGACAAATGATCCAATATTGATTGGCAAATCGATGAAGTTAACGTTCTTCGTCGTATGTCCAAGCCGGAGGAAGGATCAAAGCTCTCAAAGCCGTCGAGGAATTCGTCAAAGCCAAGGGAAGGTCTTCAAAGTTTCTCTCAAAACTTCGAGGTGTTCATCGCGTTCTTCATAAAAGGCGCAAACTCGGCCCTCTTCGATCCAAAAGTCAAAGAGACATGACACCAAAAGCGTTATAGAGCACCAAATCTACCTCATTAAAGATCAAAGTCCGGATCCTCTAAAGAAGACAACAAATCCAAAGACGATGATCAAATCGCCAATACGGAGACCAAAGTCCTCCAAAAGCGGCAAAGCCAAAACAAATGTCAAAGTCGCGGATCGTCTAAAGAAGACAACAAATGCAAAGACGATGATCAAATCGCCAATACGGAGACCAAATTCCTCCAAAAGCGGCAAAACCAAAACAAATGTCAAAGTCGCGGATCGTCCAAAGAAGACAACAAATCCAAAGACGATGATCAAATCGCCAATGTGGAGACCAAAGTCCTCCAAAAGCGGCAAAGCCAAAACAAATGTCAAAGTCGTGGATCGTCCAAAGAAGACAACAAATCCAAAGACGATGATCAAATCGCCAACGCGGAGACCAAATCTCCAAAAGGCGGCAAAGCCAAATCAAAGATCAAAGCCTCGGATCGTCTAAAAAAGACATCAAATCCAAAGCCGATGATCAAATCGCCCGCACGGAGACCAAAATCCTCCAAAAGCCGGCAAAGTCAAAATGAAGACCAAACCTTTTCGGATCAAAAAAGCCATCGAAAATCAAGTTGGAAATAAATCGACCCGGAAGGAGAATCAAAGGACCCATTTAGAGAATAGGACCCGCTTTTAATTCAAATCAAATATAATTTGTACAAATTTTGTGTTTATTAAAAATAACACAATTTTTTGTCCACAGATTTTTGACACGCCCAGTGGGACCTCTCTACCTTTCATCTCTCTTTCCGACGAACTTTCAACAACCAATGGCTTCCTACATGATCAAGACTTCCAACGTTGCGTCAAAAGTTGCTGCTCAAGCCGCCGTCGTCGACAAAGAAGTTGGCGCACCCATCGCATCCAAAACTTCAAGCGCTTCGACAAATACTGGAATGACAACACGAAGCATGACCAAAAGAGCATTGTCGTTATCTGAAGACACTTCTCCAAAAAAATCACAGAGCAAAGTCCACTCTATGAAGAAGACGACAACTTTAAGAGTACTGCCGCACTGTTCACCCCTCAACAAACTGCAAGTCATTCAACCGCATCAAGCTCTGCTCCGGTGATGACTACCAACGCTTCAAATATTGAGGACCCAAAGATTGTGGATCAAAGTCTTCTGTGCGAGGAATATAAAAGCTTCAAAGGTACTTTCATGCCACCTAATTATCGGCCAATTTCAAGTCATTCAACCGCATCAAGCTTTGCTCCGGTGATGACTATGAACGCTTCAAATATAGAAGATCAACTTGCAGCATTGACCAAAATCGTTGAAGGAATGTCTCAACACATGCAACAACAAGACGCCCTCATTGAAAAACTTCTCACAAAGCTGGACAAGCCTGAAGAAGCCAGCCATGCAACTGAAAAGCAACAATCTTCCCCAGCAGTCCAAAATAAAGCGGCAATATTTGTGGAGCAACGTCATGGCAAAGAAAAGGTGGCGGAATTAAATCCATTTCAAGGATCATCCGACTTCTTCATCCATATATCCCAACTTGACAAATACATCAAGGGGGCAATCAAAAGAGAATTCGAAGGGAGTTCAAGGCTGACGCACACTTACGCCAAGCCTTACACTGCAAGAATTGACGCCCTTAAAATGCCAACGGGCTATCAACCACCAAAGTTTCA